ATATTAAATTGCAAAAAATATATTAATAATGAGTACACAAGTAATGCAAGTAATTAAAACTATTTTAAATAATACTTCAATCTAACAAGTTTACCTTAATCAAATAAAATTATAACTATTATTTATTTATAAAAACAATTCGAGTGAAATAAATTAATTAAAATGTGAATTGAACTAAAATTCGAATATTAATAAAATGTGAGTACAAAATTTATAGCAAAAATTAATTGAGTAATGAATTAACTAGTTTTTTGTCCTAGTTATTTGAACTAATCAATACTATTGTTTAATAAATACTCAAAACTAACAATTAACTAGTTTTTTGTACTACCTATTTTTTTTTTTACTAAAAATCAAATTATTAAAGTTTAACTTTAACTATAATGAGAATTAACTAGTTTTTTAAACTAGAGTCAAAGGTAGCAATTAATAAAAAATTGTAATGAAGTAATTAACTACTTTAATGAAAAATTAAACAATTCGTGTGAATACTAATTAACTAATCAAGTAATGTTAATACAAAATTAAACAAATAAGACAAATGTATGAAAGTGTATGCTAATTAATGGTAGTAATAGAATGAATTTAACTAATATTAATTAAAGTGTAACTAATATATATGTAAGTATATATATATACACTTAATATATTAACTAGATGTAATAAAACTATAAAAGTAATATATTAGTAAAAATCATATATATATATACACTTAATATATATATATATACTTAATATACTAATTAATATACTTCGAATGAATTAGATATAATTCCAACTATATTAGATAAAATATAATGTTTATAGTATATAATATATAAGCATACTAAAATACACTTATATTTAATACTTTAATATATAAAGTGTATATTAATTAGATACTAATTGTAATATAGGTAATATAAGTAAATAATAACCTTGATAAAAACCTAGCAACAAACCTCTTCAAGGTGCTACTCAAGTACAGGCCTGAAGATAAAGCTGCTAAGAAGGAGCGTCTTCTAAAGAGGGTCCAGGCCGAGAGTGAGGGAAAGACCCCTGAACTGAAGAAGCCCATTGTTGTTAAGTATGGGCTCAAGCACGTAACCTATCTCAATGAGCAGAACAAAGCCCAATTGGTGGTTATTGCTCATGACGTGGACCCGATTTGAAAGGTTGTTTGGCTCCCTGAGTCCCTGCTTTGTGCAGAAAGATGGAAATTCCTTATTGTCCACAAGAAGACTGCATCTGTTTTGTGCTTGACCTCAGTGAAGAATGAGGATAAGTTAGAGTTCTCTAAGATTTTGGAAGTAATTAAGGCCAACTTCAATGATAAATATGAAGAAAATTGCAAGAAGTGGGGAGGTGCAGTGGAGTCATGGGCTCTAAATCCCAAGCCAAGACAAAAGCGAAGGAAAGGGTTCTTCAGAAGGAAGCAGCTCAGAGAATGACTTGATTGTTAATCCTTGTAGTATCTTCTATTTTGACATGGTGTTATTTGTTGATATTCGCAATTTTCAGGAAAACAGAACATCTTCTTTATCATCGAAGCACTATTATTATCCTCTTAAAAAAAAAGTAAATAATAAATAGAGATTAAGTAGATAAGGAATATAAGTAATATAACATATGCATTTAAAATTAGATAATTAATATATAAGTACATAAGAAATATAATTGTGGATCGTTGCGCTTAACGCTACACTAAAAGCAATCGCTGATAGTGTAACACACCCTCCCCATTTATAGCACATGCAAAGCGCCACGCAGTTCGATTGCACCGGCAGGCTGGCATCCTGTGGGTCCGCAACCTGTGCCTTCACATCATGTGCCTTCATACCCGCGGCCCAACAATAACTAATATAATATATGTATTTATAAGTAGATAATTAATATAAAGTTGATATAATATTTGTATAAGTATTAAATAGTAAAAATGTAAAATATATTGGAGAATAAGAGAATTTGAGAAGATGAAGAAGATGGAGATGATTAGAGAGTAGAGAGGATTTAGGAAGAGTTAGAGAAGATGTGGAAAAATGTTTAATATTAGGAGTATTTATAGGGTTTTTTTTACCCCCACCCCACCCACCCACCCCCACCCTCAAAGCCGGTGATAGGGGGAGTTACCCTAGGCAGGTGCCTAGGGCCTCCATATTTTTAGGGCCTCAAATTTCTTAGAAATGCTATTTATATATATTTATGTGTGTTATTTGAGAGATGATTGTATTCCTTCGTAATCCCAACTGCATTCTTAAATTAGGATGCAAATTAGGGGTGGGCAAAAATCCCGGTCCCAGTGACCCAAACCGAAAAATCTCGATACCGTTCCGAAACTATCCCGGTCCATGTAGGATGCAATTTTTTCATCCCGAACCGGTCCCGTACCGATATTAACTGGGACGGGACTGGGATAGCTATAGAATATTATGTCCCGTCCCGGTGTCCCGTTTGAAAATAGTAGGTTATTTTAAATTTCTAATGATATGTAAAAGACAAACCCAATTAAAACTTTCTAACCCTTAGTCTCCTTAATGTCATTTTATCGTATTTCATGTCTCTCTTCGTCTCGTTTCTTTTGTTTCTTTTGTTTATATTTCTTTAGTTCTCATTCCGATACTACTCCGTAATATATTATTACGTGCGGAATATTATTATGATGGAATAACAACTACTCCAAAATATAGTGTTGTTATAGATTTAATATTTTCCAAAATAACAACTAGTAAACATATATAGTCCTTATAGATATGATATTTAATTTAATGTGATATTGAAAAGTTGCAAGTGTACTACAAAGTATACAAATATTTTGTGCTACTATTCTACGAGGAAACATAAGATTAGATGGGGGGGGAAGTTATAAGACAATCATTAAAAATAGTTAATTAGAGGTTTTACTTAACTTTTTGGATAAGCTAAATTTGCAAAAATAGTTACATCTTTATTTTGATGTTATGCTTATTTTTATATCACATTTCACAAATGTATATTTTATGGGACGTCCCGGTTTTTCTCGGGATGTCCCGGTCCCGTTTTAAATGGGACATCATTGGGATAATGACTTATCCCGAACCGTACCGGACCATTATTATAATACCGAGTCGAGACCGGGATAAGTCAAATCCCGAACCGTCCCGTCCCGCGCCCACCCCTAATGCAAATCAATTACAAGTATTTTATAGTGGCATCCATCATTTGATTTTAAATATGTGTGAACACAAATTTAAAGTTCGGAATCGAATCAGTGATCATTTCTCTTTATTACTCCGTATTTAGTTTAAATTTTTACAGAGTATGTATTCTTTGTATTTTAGTCTTTATTATATTAACCCTATTGATCATTGACAAAATTCACAAATTCTTATACAAAAAAGTACGGAGTACGGAGTATGTAGTACGGAGTATATAATATGAAAATGATATATTTTTATCCTATAATTATGTTCATTCTAGACTCCAAAGATCTTGATTGTATACCTATAGTAATGCTCTGTTTTAGTAATTTATTAAACAAATCATTATGTACTACTTCGTATTTTATTCACTTAATTAGGATATCAATTCTTATTTAAATTTTAATTTTACAACTTTATAAAACAATTTAAGGTAGTGGTTTTTCTTTTTGAAAAAATGAAGGTAGTATTTTGTTATATACTACGTAACACTTTTATTTGAATGCCTTGGGCCTCAAATATGCTAGAGCCGGCCCTGCCCACCCTCCCCCCTCCCCCCTCCCCCAGCTGGCCCGGACCCCCCCTACAACCCTCCCAATGGCTATATAGCCGTTTGGGAAGCCCCAGCCCAGCCTAACGGCTCTTTTGAGCCCAAAAGATTTTTTTTTAAAAAAATGAGACTGTTGGACCCGAACTCGGGCCCGACCCGGCCGGGCCGGGCCACCTTTTATAAGAACCGAGCCCGCCACCTGCTACACCCCCCGGTTCGGGTATGCACCCGGACCGCCAGGCCGGGTCACGGGCCGGGTGGCCCGAACCGAATCCAGCACTAATATTAGATGGATCACTAAAGGAAAAGGAAATGCACTAGATGGCCCAATCTACATTGATGGCAAATCCAAATAGAAATTAAATGTGGTCTCTCATCAGAGATATAGATCTTGATCTTTATGGAATTTGATGGTAAGAGTTACAAGGAGATTTGAGATGTCAGCCCAGTCTAGAGGAGGATACAAGCTAAAAGTTGAGTTCTTGAAGAGGTCAATATTATGTGTATGTGTCTTTTATTTTATTTGAAAATTATTAAAACAATACATTCATGAAAACGAGTTTCATATTGGATAAAATATCATTGAATGTTTAACAAGGGCAGGGGTGGATCCAGGAATCTGAGATGCTCTGGACTGGAAAGCAATTATACTAAATGAAAAAAATTAGACTAAAAATTTGAAAAAATAGGATACTTTGAGTTTCAGCCCACTATAGCCTATAGGCTATACATAGATCCTCTCCTCAACAAGGGTGTTTCAGTTTTTTATCGGTGTTGAAAACCGGACAGTAGTTCGGTTCAACTTTATTTTTAGATGAATCCAAATCAACTTGAATTAATTTATGATTTCTGATTAGAAAAGTGATCGATCAAATTTAACACAAGGATTAATTAATATTTACACAATTTAAAATAGAAGAGTGTACAATCAATAATATTGTATGCGGTGATATTGAACAATTGTTATATCGTTAGCAAAAGTATATTATTTTACATTGTTATCAATATATTGGTGATTGATCTCATTTCATCAAAATTTAATTTTAAATTTAAGAATAAAACTTATATAAGAAATTTAAAATGCAGCAATATTTAAAGTTTTGGCCATACAGATAACAATATTGCATCTTCACTCTAGACATACTGATAATTTTCAGCGTTAGTTGGGACTTGGGAGACGAAACACAACAAAAATTGGAGACGTGACTCTCATTTCGTGATAAAGTTCTCTCAAATAGTCATTGATTTTATTATTAGTCACATTAATTAAACTAAATTGTACACTTAGATGAGTTATTCTATACGTCGCATATGCCAAGGAACTTCGATCATAGTTGTACACTGGTAATATAGTTCCAAACATATTGCTGCTAATTGTTTCTTAATATATCACACTATCACAGTAATAAGAAGAATGTCAAGTAAGCATAGGTTTAAACCACCAAAACCAAATAGTATGTGGTTCCATGAAGTTCAGAAGTCAAAACTAAAAACCAAAACTTCTAACACTATGCCTACTATTAGTCTAATAATAAGAATAATCACAAATAGGCAATCTATTTTGGATTACATTTTAAGCCCTCCACCTAATGGTGATTTTATTGCATACAAGTTACCCGCTTGACTCTCCAAATGCAAAAGCTACTTGCTTTCCTTTTGTGTGTTGAGCTTTACGGATACTTGTTCATCTGTCAGTGGTAGATAGTATATCCGAGGGGTGGCTTTCGTTTTCCTAAACAGGTCATCCAAAGTAGGCATGGGCGGTGTTTCTGTTTTGGGAGCAGCAGGTGAAGGCGGTCTAGCAACCCTCTCTTTCATTGTGGACCGGTGGTCATGAGCAGGTGGCTGTCGGGAGAGCGGATGGGGTCTTTCAACTTGCTCCCAGGGACCACTCGGTTGCCTGGCTGGTGGCAAGGCAGGCTGAGGCAAAGTTTGGACTGGGGAGGGGATTGCTGGAGTGCTGCTTACTGGAGGAGCAGTTGGGTTGGAAGGGCCAGCCGCAAGCTGTGCCTTCACATACTGTGGGTCCACAAAATCGGCAATCAGGCAACGACCTCCATATGTGGGCCATTGAAGGCCATAAACCGCCTTTCTAGTCTCTATAGCTTCCTCCACGGAAGAAAACTGTACCGAAAATATTCATCACAACCTTAATACATTAATGATTACACACTAAAGAGCTCATAAATTAATAATTCTCTATATATAAACTCACACAGCAATGCTTCAAAAGGTTAAAAAGAAGTTTACTTGTAGCAATAAAAGAAGTGATAAAGTCCCACAACGGAAAATTAAAGAGATAATAATTGGTTAATCAGATCACGGGTTAGACTAGCTAATAGACTTAAATTCAATCTTTTTTGATGGTTCAGCGCAAGTGCTTAATGGTGTTAACTGTTAAGTGACCCTAAATTGTTTGGATTCAATCTTTTAGTATTGTTTGGCCTGAGTGCCTTAGGACCCAAGTTCAGGGATCCCACCCAAACCCTGAATATTAGCAAAAATCTTTCAATTTGTACTTAAATGTGCAGTGTGCTACAGGGGAAATACTAAAATGTTGGGTCTAGTGAGAACAAAATTGAGAATGAGAATGCTAATGAAATTACCGTGACATAGCAATGGGTCTTGATATTGTCCATCCAGAAGCTGCAAACGTTCCCAGTTTTCCCTAAAAGCTCTTGCACAGCTTTCACTGTGAAAGGCCTCAGAAAGTTATTAATTCTGAGAGAATCGGTAGGCACTCTTGATGACTCTGGAACTGGAATACACAACCAAAGAGTAATAACTTATTAAGAAATTGTGTTTATTTAAAACAAAACTTACAACATAGAAAATAAAAGATATGCTGACCAATGCGCTCCATTGGGGAATCAGCCTTGACCACAGAGCCACTGCCAGATATATTTGGCTCGGAGATTTGCTTGGGTGTGAGGAGCAAGACACTGGGACTTTTTGGTTCAGATGCCTTTACAGACTCATAGTTCCATTTACGCTGCCTTTTGGCAGGTTCCTTGTTTCCTGCTGACACTGCATCTGCCAATTGACACAAATAAAAGCACATGATGCACCTTTATTGATGTTTAACTGCTTGAGGATTTAGACACGCGATAGTGCTAAGTTGCTAACTGCTAACTATAGCCTTGATCCAAAAAATCATGTTTGACAATGCATACTTTTTTGTTTTTAAAATTTATTTATTGGTTTAGCTATGAATATCATCTGTGACGTGTCTGGCTCTTTTTTTGAAGTTACATGATGATCAGCTTCTTTTGATCAAACTGACATCTTTTTTGGAACAAAATGACCTTTTTGGGTGAAGGTCATAGATGGTACACTATTTTTGCCCAAGTATACAGTATATGGTCACATTAGGCAACACTTAATAACTTTCACTTTGTTTATTAATGATTATTATTCATTACCAGAAACCGCATAAGCCAATTTGCTTTGGATGGTTTTATTATTTGTAAACCAAATAGATGGTGGGTTATTACTACATAGCAAGTTCACTCGGTAAGTTAAAATAGCTGGACCAGCTGGTCATTTGGCAATCCAATAAATTAAAACACAAATGACTTAGCTGCCCTTCCTTTTTTATTTGACTTCTTAGTTATGTTTAGTACCTGAAAATCTATTGGGGCATGTGTTGATTGATATCAATACTAACTTATTTAAACCCCTATTTTTCCTTGATAGACACCTTTTTGCGAACGGGAAAGAGGCACCTCCCAACTCTTATTGTGCTAAAATATCACAGAAATAAACGCTGATCAGGTATTGAGAACTTGAAGGTAAGGGAAGGCAATAGGGCATACACACCTTGAAATTTTCTCTTGTCAGGTAAGTCTAGTATGTTTTTCTGATCTCCAAGAGAAACTTGACATGCATCAGAAGAAATGTCAAGCATTGTAGCATTAATACTACCTTCAACCTCAACTTCAGGTTTCTTAGTAAGGGGTTCTTCTGTCTTTTTACCTAACAATTCAAAGGAGATGTGCTCAGAATCAATGTTCTTTGGGTCAGCTATGTCCTCGTCCATGGAATCATCTGGAGAAGACTGGTCAAGGTTTATTTTTTCAAGATTATCTCCTTCCGCAATATCAGTAGATTCACCTTCCGCTTCAGTAAACCATTGGCATCCACATTAGTATCTTTCGTCAATGGACATTATTATTATGTACATTAAAAGGGTAAAGCATGAGGATAAAACCAAACCTTGAAAATTAGCTTCCTTGACAGAAGCAGCAACATCAACTTCTTCTTTCCCCGGTGAATCAGTCTCTTTACACTGAAAGTTATCTTCAGCTAGACCTCCACCTTTTGAAAGCCCTTCCAGTTTCTCAGTAATATTTGTAGCCTTATCATCCATGGTGTGCTCTATCATGGAAACATCTAATAAGGATTGGAGAGAATAATAGGATAGCGAACAGAATAAGAAAAGGAAGAAGGAAACATGAGAATAGCCACCATACTTTGAGAATCGGTTTTCATGGTAGAAGCATCAACATCCATTTTCTCTCCTTCAATTTTTTCTTCTTCAGATGATTCCTTCTCTTGAAATGAAGACAAAGCTTCACTCGCACTTTTATCTTTTGACAGCTCTTCTTCCAGCAGTTTGATGCTGTTTGAAGCCTTGCAATCCATTTTAAGCTCTATAATGGGAGAATTTACTAAGGGTTTGTACAACACAAGGATACCAAATAGAGTAAGAGAAGGAAGGAAAAAGCATGACGATAGCCCATCATACCTTGAGAATCGGTTTCCATGGTAGACACATCCACATCAATTTTTCCTTGTTCAGATGACTCCTCCTTACACGAAAACTTATCTTCATTTAGCTTTCCATCATTTGACAGACCTTGCAATAGCTGAGTACTATTTGAATCTGTCTCATTCATGTTGTGTTCTATGATGGAAACATCTAGTACCGATTGGAGAACACATTAGAATATAAAACATCAGTAGAGATGTAGAGGGATACACTCGAGGAGGGAAAAAATGTTAAATTGAGTCAAACACTCAAACCTGCCCAAAAAAGAGCCTCATAGGGTAAGGTGACCTGATGTGGGATGCTCAATGCATCCCTCTGGACTGCACATCTTAAGAGTGAGCATGCCCAAATTGACCCAGACGGGCTACCCCAAACCATCATCTAGGCTAGCAGCCCGCATGCCAAAAGGCCCAAAACCAGCCAAGAGTTTGATATCATGTTAAATTTTACCTATGTCTTCAAATGAATCCTCAAGCCAAAACTGGGCAAGGGTGATCCCATACTTATCTACTACACACATACCCACTAGACAACGACAACATGGGATATTCAATACTTCCTTTCACCCCAAATCAGATTAGACAACTAACATGGTGAATAAATGGGCCCAAACCGACTTCCACAATGGCTGTCCCAAATCATCAGGTGGATGGGCACACCTCCACGGGTGAGGTTTACAACAAGATTGTATATATTAGACTCAAACAAAGTAGACAATTTGGATAGGATACTCCAAAAAATGGTAATAACAATCATACCTTGAAGATCAGCTTCCTTTGTAGACGCACCAACACCAATGTTTTCTTCTTCAGATGCTTCCTTCTTTTCCAGCAGCTCAGTACTATTTGAAGCCTTATTATGTTCTATAATGAGAGCATCTACTACTAAAGATTGGTCTGCATTTTCATTTTTCATGCTAAAGTTCACATTTGGGGACTTTTGGTCATCAGTTCCTCCAACAAGACCATGACTCACACTTGGCATTTTTGCATCCATTGGATGAGCTACGCCAACATCTGAGAGGTCTTTGTTGGACGATGGAAGAACCATTTCTGACCTATCAATTTCTTTTTCTAAAATGATATTATCAGGACTCAAATCATAGTTATGTTCATTTTTTAAGTAAATCGGCAAAGTATCAGTAGGAATTGAGTCAGATTTTACTTGAGACCCTAAATTAGTGATGACCTCATGTACCTGGGTGGTGGTTGAGTGGGACAAATCAGGTTCGGCAGAATATATTTTTGTTTCCACATCATTATTTTGGGAAGACTTGATGACCTCGTCCCCCTCAACTTTGCCTAATGGCACCGACTCAGTTGAAACCATCCCATCAGCGATTCCCTCATTAGCATCAGCTGAAGGTATGGTTACCTCACTTACCAAAGGAGCATCTGAATCTATACTTTCCCCAGCTGTTGGAAAATTAATAGAATTTCCAGTTTGAGCATCGCCTGTAACAGATTCTACTTGAGACCCTATATTAGAGATGACATCATGTACTTGGGTGGTGCTTGAATGAGACAAATCCAGCCCAGAAGATACTTTTTTTGTTTCCACATCATCATTATGGGAAGATTTGGTTACGTCATCCTCCCCTGTCACTCTTTGTGGGACTGACTCAGTTGAAGCTATCCCATCATGGATTCCCTCGTTTGCATTAACAGAAGGTATGGTTTCTAAAGGAGTCCCTGAACCTTTACTTTCACCTCCCGTTGGAGAACTAACAGACTTTCCACTCTGATCATTGTATATCCCTTTTGTAGAGTCTGTTTCTTTAGGTAAATCCATGGTCTCATCCTTAGGCACAGTATCTTCTGCTTCATTAACTTTTTTATCACACTCAGAAGACATACTTTTTGTCTCACTTTCACTTTCAGAACCCTTGTCATCTTCTTCCATCTCAAGGGCTTCTCTTTCCTTCTGAATTGCTTCATCCAATCTATTCACCAAGTCATCCTTCAATCCCTTCACAGCTAAATTACGCTTCTTAAGCTCATCCCTCAGCTCTGCTACCTTCCACTTGTTAATGGGACGGTTATCAAGAACAGGATATTGTTTCGGCATGTTCCCAAAGTAAACAAAATAAATACCCCCCTGCAACATAATTACACAAATAACAATAACCCGTGAATAGTATTACCAAAAAGATTGAAACTTCATATTGGTCATTTTGTTTCAGTGAGTACATGCTCTCAAATTTACAAACAATGAAAAGTAGATCGGTCAGAAAGTCAATCATGACTTAGTGCATCACAAGCACTGAATTATCTAGCTATCAAGATATAGTAATGTAGTTCTCTTTTCCAATTTCCCTGCCAAAACTAACTGAAAAAGAATCACTCCTAAGTCCTAAGTATAGCATTGTTGACTCAATAAGGATACGGGCAACTGGGGGTTTTCACTGAAGTATCTAGAGATTTATTATATATTTGTTTTTACAGCAATGCTTCCTGTACACGTTTTGTGTACATGCCATGTACATTTCAGACACAACATGTACACACACAATTTCAACCATTGGTACAAAAACGTGTACAAATGGCACTTTCCTTGTTTTTTATTGCTTCCTTGTTTACAATAAAAAGAACCGTGAGAAGTGGAACTTGTGCAGAGCATTTCAAACTAACTATTGCAGTAGTGAATTAATTATAGCTATTTTGTGGTTCCCTATAGAAAAACTCATGCTTCTTGAAATATTCTGGCCCAACGAATGGATGGTGGAAACAGCTCAAGATGTCTATAAAATTGAACTAAAAAAGCTTACTCTTTCGTACCAGCAATCCAGAATGTCAATTGTCAGCATGAAATTTACTTTTGCCCAAGCAACGAAAAACTCACAAAAGATGCAGATTTAATACTGTAATACGTATTATTCAAAATAAAACAATTATATGTGCCCGACACTCCTAAGATTTCAAGAAAAAATGGGAAAAAACGCATCTTTAAATTCCAAAACGCATACAACCAAATGGGTCTGTAAATAAAAATTCCCAAAATTGACACGAATGTAATAAAGCAACTCCGTATCTGAAACGTGACAACAAGATCTGCAGAGTGGCGTTTCATAGGGCTAAAAGAAGATATCCCGTGTTTCAGATTTCCAATTTAGCCCATCTAAAAATCATTAATGATTAAAACATCCACTAATTTTTTCTATATCAGGATAGTTGAAACAAGATAGCATTTTTTGTTGAATAATAATATTTGATAGGTTGGAAGTTGAAGGAGGTAAGTCTGTCGACTGAACATGGAGCGTAAAAGCGGGGAAATACCTGGATGTATGTATGTTGATGAAGAACGGTGAATTGGCGAGTAGGAGTACAGAGTTGAAGGGGAAGCTTGTGAAATCATACAATTCTTACCCTTTTAGGCGCGTGGTAATAATTCTAGGAAGAAATAGAATTTGAGCCCGAGTCCATTCACAAAATGTGAAGTTGGGCCAAAATTTAAGAGGCCCAATATACTATTTGGTAATAGCACAAAAAAAATTATGGAGAGTTCTATATACAGCCATCGGTTTGCTAAACAAAACCCCCGTTTTAAATGATTAAATAAAAATGGCCTGATCTTTCAATTTTACCCTTGTCTAATCTAGTTTTATGCTCGAAACAATTTTGCTATAGGTACTTCAAACCATATCCCATTTGTACCCCATATAAAAACTCACCCTCACTTTTTTTCTTCCATCTTCCCTCTCTCTTGCACCCCCACCTCTCTTCCTCCCTCTCTCCATCTCCTCTTTTTCACGCACCCCCCTCCCTTCCCCTTTCTTCTCCATTTCAATATCTTTACCCTTCTTTAAAACTTCCCATTTTTATCATCTTTCCCCCTTCAACCTCAGATCTTCTCCTGCTTATCTCCTCTTCCACCGGTGACGTTGCCGACGGCGGCCCTACGCCAGTTGCCAACTGCGGGCATATGCCGGTTACCATTTCGGATGCAATCTCAAGGGAAGACAATGACGAAGGCATACCAAGAAGCTTTGAATAACATGAGCAACAAATATTCTTTTCTTGATTTTTGATGTATTTGGGAAATAAAAGGAATTGTCTGTCTGCCAGACAACTTGTAAGTGTAGTTTCTGTAAGAGTCGTGAAGTTGTTTGCCCTTTGGAAAATAAATGTCTGTAATTGATATTTAATTGTTTGTCATTTGTTTATTAGTTGTCTGTATTTGTTTTGAGTTGTCTGTAATGACTTGTCTCAGTTGTCTGTTATGTTGTTGTGAGATGTCTGTAAGAGTCGTGAAGTTGTTTGTAACTCATATTTAGTTATTTGTCATCTCATTCTGAGTTGTATGTAATCTGTGGTGAAAAATAATGTATGTCTGGTTATCTCTATTGTCTGTCTAGTTATACGTATTGTCTGTCTTTTTTTATGAAACATATGTCAAAATGGTACTAGTAATTCACAATAAAGTAATGTCTGTATGTGTATACTTATTGTTTGTATGTGTATATTTAATGTCTTTCTCGTTATACTAATTACATCTCAAGAAATAAACATCACAAATTACATACAGACAACTCAAAACAAATATAGACAACTCAAAACAAATATAGACAACTCAAATCAAATGAAAAAACAATTAACCATCAATTACAGACAGACAGACACTGCACTTACAAGTTGTCTGTCAGACAGACAACTCTTTTAATTTCGAAAACACACCAAAAAATCAAGAGAAGAAGATTTGCTCAAGTCTTTCAAATCTTCTTGGTCTGCACATTCATTGTTGTCTCCCATGTATCTAACATCACCGGAGCTCTCCCCGTTCGTCTGATTACTGTAGCTCGTGCATTTGAAACGAAAAAAAAAGGCGGAAGAGGAGAGAAGCAGGAGAAGAAGCATGGAGGGGGGAAATATGGAAAAATGAGAAGTATTAATGAAGGAAGAATGTGGTAAAAGTGGGGTATCAATAGCAATTTTGTCCTCGAAAAGCTTATTTCAGTGCCCTGACCAGAGCCATAGAAGAACGAGGGAATATCACGAAAGTGTAGATCTATCCTCCAGAGTGAAATTTTCAAAAAGTTGCTCAACCAGTTCTTGTATAGTTGATTTGGATAAAAGATTTTTAATTTAATGACGATTTTAAGTCTGTTACTTCAGATATGGAAGAAGCTTTGCAAACCACGCACACATCACTTTGGCATTTTTCCTAAAATCGTGATTGGAAATTTATAATGGAATGAGCTGTGTTGAATGGCAATAGAAATGATTTGTTAAATAGACTTGTATTAAGATTCTCCACAGGTCCGCTTTTAATTGCCAAACCTGTGTTAATGTTTAGGAGACTCTACACAAAATCGTGAATAATGAGTCTCAGAGATCAGTTGCTTTTGTTTACTTCTTCGATATGTCTTGCTTTGTTGATACAATGAAAATCCTATAACTTATATTAATGGAAAGTGTTCGATAGTGATTCATGCATATAAAAATATATCTTCTGTATGAAGCACGACTGAAGAGTGGGTTGTTATAAGGGTAAATTAGGGATTTAAAATAATTTATTTATTAATATGAAATTTGGGGGCTGTGATTAGTAATAAGGAGGTTATAGATAGAATCATCCGAAAATTATTTGTGCCCACCGACCCACCCTAATACTCACACTTTCATATCCACCAATGTAAAAGATTTTTATTTTTGTCTTTGGATCATGTTGTTTACAGGGGTGTTTGGAACTGCTTCTGTTTCTTTTTTAAAGCAGAAGGAGAATCAGAATCAGTTTTCAGAAGTTGGTCTCCCCCAGCTTCTAAAAAACTGATCCTATGAGTAAATTAAAGCACCAGGATCACTTTTGCATTTTCACCCCAAACACTCCAACTTCTGCTTCTGCTCCTTCAGGGAGCATAAGCAGTTTTAAGAATCAGATCCAAACACCCCCACAGACAACACATGACTTGTTTTATCCGTGTAAGTTTGCACAAACAAAACAAGACATGTTTTGTCCGTGAACGATATTCACACACAAAAATAGCTTCTCACATTGGTGGGTATAAAAGTGGCAAGTATGAGGGTGGGTCGTACAAATAGTCGGGCTGATAGAACTAATGCTCTAGTAATCCTGTACATATTTTAATGCATTTGTGACTGATATAAATAGAGGACTTTGGTCATGTTTAACACATCATCATCAACTAACCCTCTAAATCAATCTTTTTTCTATCATTCTTCTGATTAACTATCGAGTCTTATTATGAGTAAGGCCCAATATAGGCCTAAGATATTTTTAATTGGATTAACATTTTTCTGGTCTGATATGGTCTTGTCTGCTTTGATATGTTTAAATCTGAATTGGTCTGGAGTGGTAAATGTTTGGTCTCTGAAATTTGCAACTATCGAAACCTAGTCTGTTATTATATATTTAAGTCTGGTGTGATATGTTTATTTCCAAACAACTCTGATCTGGTTTAGTCTGGGATTGAGAATAATCCAAATAAAAACACCATTAGATTCAACCCATAATTATCAATTATCTGTGACTCTGTGAGTATGCATACACATGCAATTATTGTTTATCCCATTTTGATCAAAATACTTTTGTAACTTTTAAAAATGTCTAGATTTAGAATATCTGAGTTGGGTGTATGCAAAGCTAATTAATGGGATTAGAGGTGAGTTCGCTTCATTCAGCTCAATTTTGAATCAAAACCATATGTAAAACCAAACTAAAAATATCAGTGCGGTTCAATTTGTTCATATTTATTTTGAAACCACAGTTCAATCCGTTTGGTTTTGTTCGACTCGACTTTGATTTTTTATATTTTAAACCTAAAGACACTATTTTAAAAAAGAAATGACGTGCAAAATAACAACATAAGCAAAAGAAAAAGAAAAATGTTTAAGTGCAGGGAAATAAAACACAGGTAACGAGAAAAGTGAATCACTGCCTTACAGTTTAAATAAAGTGCGGTAAACTTGACATGATATCATATAGTGTGGCAAAAAATAAAATGCAGTCAACTTAAAATCACATGAATTAAACTTTAATGACCAACATCCGCATCCACAATATGTAAATTCTTCAAGCATCTTCCATTCTCATCAACTGGAGTAAGTATATGCATCATCATTTCAGTTTTGATTCTTCAACTTCAAGCTTCCTTCTTGAGTTTTATTTCCTAACATTTGAAGGCATGTTGAGGATTTCTCCACATGCAAGTTCTAAATTGAGTTAACAAAATACAAGAAGGGAAAGGAATTAAAAAAATTGACAAGTACATTATAGAAATAAATTTGTATAACAAATATGGAGTAATATATTTACCTTTCTCCATCTCTTCACAGAATTCCATTTCTTCAATAGTTGATTCATGATATAATGCAACGTGAGTACTCCTAATAAGAGCATCACCAATGGGAGCATGTTCACATTAATAAAAACTGCTTCGTCATCCATGTCAATATTGTTTGTATTATTTACATCTCCAGTGCAATATGTTTGAACTCATACAATGTTGATGTGTAAAGAATTAATGTAAACAATGTTGTGATGATTGTCTTGAGATAACATGGTCCTTGACATGCTGACTTGACACATTCCGTTTGAGAAATGCTGCAACAATGTAGAAAAACTCTACAAATTCTCCCATCCAAAAAATACCTCTACATATCGAACCAAAGCAGCCAATCACCCACGACATATATGTCCAACAACTCCAACAAATAGTACATGAGTTTCTCTAATTCTCTTCTCTACCACGGAAGATTAATTTTATCATTTAATCTATTTACACCTATCAAGAATAAAGCACTTCCAGAATCCCAGGTTCCAGCGTAGTAGATCCGTGTTAAGGAAAGAGCTTAATTTCTTGTATTCATGTTTTGAGTATCCACAAATTTCCTTTCTCAAAATTATTACTGCGTACTTTTCTTTAATGAATTTCACAACCATATCTTTTGATCTTTCTTTCTTTTAATGAATTTCACAACCATATATTTTAATTCATTTTTTTTAATTGAACATGCAAGTCAAACTTGGAAGGGTTCTTACGTGCAGTTAATTTTAATCAAATATGGTGATTTTTATTTATTTATTATTATAAAAGCAAAAGTCTTACACGTAACATTTATATTGCATGCTAACAGCGGCGGATGTAGGTATTCCCGGTAGCAGGGGCGGCAGTACAAAAATATACATACAAATACATATATATTAAAAATTTATGAGTAAATATACCTAGATTTTTTTGGAGGGGCAGCAGCTCCCCATTGCCACCCTTTGTGTCCGCCATTGCATGCTAACATATAAAGCATTGGACAAGATTTTTGGATTTCATAATCTATTTACTTCACTCTTATATGACGTGAATGAACATTCCACTTATTGTTTGTCATGTGTCAAAATTTATTCAATGTTAACAATGAAGCATTAAAGATGCTCTAAGCCAATTTTATGTCTATATCAAGGCCTCGAGCATTTTAGGACTCAATGAACTATGAAATGGATCAATTACTCACCCATTAGTGCTAAAAAATGATTCTGAAGCAATTGTGGACACCAAAATAACAAGAATATCCTTTTCATTAGATGCCAAAATAGGGTATTTACAAGCATATCATGCTCACCCTCCACCAATTCAAGATGTCAAAACTTGAATCTCATCACCTTCAGCATCATCTCAAAGATACATATCCACACCATTGTTTATAATATCAGCCTTCTTCCTCTTTTTTGCTCCTTGAGAGCCAACTACTTTTCAAGTTCTGTCATGTTTAATGAAAGTTCTTATTAAAATCTATGGTACAACCGCCACTAACTGACAGTGATGTTTGGGAAGACAAAGAAATTTTGACTTTGTCTTTGCTAATGTCGTCTTCCACCCTAGCATCCAACTCCTCATACATCAATTCCATTTAATCACTGAGTTTTTCAAATTTATGACGTAGGTCAATTTCATTAATACTCATTCCCCTTACCAATAGCTCCCCACCACTTGTTATATTTCTCTTGCACGGATATTGAGATGAAATATAAAAGCGTATTTCATGTTTCTTTATTCAATTCTTACTTTATCAATTAATATCAACCACAAAAACCCACTTTTCTTAAAACCCGTGTCACCCTCTTCCGAGACATTTAAAAGGGGACGGAGGGAGTATAATTTTTTTGCAACAGTTTCAAATACATATTTTTTCCTTCTAAAACAAACAAGACAATCACTCAGAAAGTGGTAACCGATTCTTGAGAAATTGGAATAGCCATTGAAAAGTACTACTGACATGTTTTCTTTTGAACTAAAATTTGCTACTCTGTTCTGGTATGATCTAGTCTGAACTGGTCTGGTCCGGAAAATGTCTGGTCTATGTTTATTTTATAACTATGGAAG